CAGACGAGGAATTAACTTTTTAACACGTCGATAAACGTAAATGACGAATCTGTTGATCGATCAACGACGAAAAGGAAGGAAAGATATGAAAATTAGACGAGAAATATTAATCTCGTGAAAACTTCAATCAACAAAGTTCCAATATTATAAAATGTTCTCTCTCCAAATTTTCACAAGAGCATATTAATTACGCGCCTGAAATATGATTGCACAGTTACACCACATCTGCCATTTTTAAAGCGCAAGCATTGGACAAAGCGATGCGGCGTGTTTTAACTAATGTCACCTGAGAGATCAAGTATATACGGTTCGAAGCATAACGTTGTGCAAAGAGGCCTTTAAAACGATCACGGTACATCCTTCGTCAGTCCGTTCGCTTCCAAAATTTCAAGGTCACCTTCAATATTCCACAGACGGACCTACAATTTCTTCACGCCCACATTTCAGCGGATGTTGACACGAATTCAACCGATAGAACGATACTCCAATTTGAACTCTCAAACTCACGCAAATTCGCAATGCGCGTTCAAAATGGTGCTCGTGAGCTGCGATAGAAGCTTGAAGGTGACCTTGTGAACTCCGAAAAAAAAAAGAGGGAAAATATACTGCAGTCATCTCGAAGACCTGTTTGGGACCGTTGTAACACGCGACAGAAGAGAAAATTTTGGATGGGTCCGTTTAACTAACAGGAATAACGATCTAATGTGACCACCATAGGCGGTTCACCCTGTACACACTTATGAACGAAGTGAAGTTGAAAACCAATCGAGTCGTGACACATTCGAATCCCGCCCACAATGCACCATGTGTTACACACACGTCCGCACCTAGCGGAGGCCCATCAGTGCAGAGAGACGGTGACAAAGAAGAGGAGACGAGGAAAAAGAGGAAAGTATACACACGGATGTTATGCATGTTGCATATCGTAATAGCTCTTTTTCTCCGTTTCGAAACCTCGTTCCTTTTTCGCCTCGATCTTAGCATTGGTCCTTACAAAAAAGAACAACTGCGTTGCATATGTGTCGCACTTTGACCAATTGCCGTCTGCTTTGACAAAAACGAAAAAAAAAGAAAAAACTTACTAATTGTTGTCCCCTGTATAATATATAGGTAGAGCCTTGTTCTCGCCACTTAAAACGCCACTTGTACTACATCGCACTCCGTCTCGCATTCGCATTTCTTCTGCGCTCCGTTTCTTTCGACGAAAATGTACAAACAAGCAAGCTTCGCGGGCAGGCGACGATAAAATGAAGAACGTGTGTATACTCTGACTCACCGCCGTTAATTCTTTTCACGAATCGTTCGTCACAGCGTACCAGGACATCCGCGACACTTGCTTTCGCAACCTTTGCTTCATCCTCTCTCTCTCTCGCGCACGGATAAAACGCGGGAAAACGGGAGGTTTCGACTTTCCAAGTAGAAGAATTCACACGTACTTTCTATCGAATTCACCGAGTAACAATGTCGCACGAATCGTAAAGTCAAACACACTTATCCGTGGCGATTTTTCATCGCGTCTCAATGACTAACCTAACCGTTTCGATAAAGCGACGCGAGATATATGCGGTACCGATCGGTTTGCGGATTCTTCGAAAATTACTCGTGTCGCTGTCTGTGTCGACGGAAGAAAAGAATCGCGAAGGAAAATTGATTTATCGCAGGAAGAAGAATGTGACTTAGAGCAGCGCAGCGTGTACAACCGCAACCCACTCGTCGCCGTCACCGCGGATGGACTGCTTGCCACGCTAGATACGGGCCCGGACCGATCGGCCAGAGTGCGGGGAGGGGGAACTTAGGCCAATGACGACGAACGTAAATGCAGGCCTGCCTGTTGACATCTATATGATTACCAGCGGAATCGGGGGACCCAAACGCGCCTTTTTATCAACTATTAATCCTGTGGGAAAGTTCTGTCGCCTTACTTACTCACCGTTATCTGTATTACGTATATCGTAGATTTCTGACGTGTCGCGTGATTAAATTATCGATAACAATTAACGTCTGCTACTATTTTTAGCGTTGCACGCTATTTCTAACGTTGTTTAACATTTTTCTGTTTATTTGGAAATTCGACTCTTAATCTAATCTTCACGGGGTGTCTAATCATTACGGTTCTCGAATCTCTTATCGTTTACAAGGTGTAACGTATAGGATACACGTGTAATTCAGTGATCGTAAGTTGAGAGTGCAGCGATTCTTAATTTATCTAATTGGTGATGGTATTCTCTGGACGTAATCGTTTTATTCACCTTCAACAATTGGTATTATAGAAGAAGATCTCCTCTGAAATTCTTCTTCTGGATGAGCATTAACACATAACCTTAATTTTTCATCAGAAGATGTTAGCTGAAAAAAAAGGACGATGGTAAACGTTGACAATTCGATAGATAACCTTCTTTTAATTTCCCACGACGAATGTACGAAGTTCCACGAAGCCCACATCCGGGTACCATCAATCAGTGATCTATTGTAGATCAAACGGCAAGATTAAGAGGGTATACAATTTTGTAATGTCGAAAATATCCAATTTTAAATTATCCCATTTTTCGTAGGTTTATATCGAATAGCTGGGATACACACGATACAAGCCACAAAATTAACTTTATAGTCTAGTCAACCGTAGAGGTGGAATTTTTGAGCTCGACCGCGCATTGAAATCCCTGTCTCGACAGACGTTACTTATCTTCTAATGTAACGCTGTGAAAATGTTTATAAATATACCAGAAGATGTAAACCTCCAGATTTTGGATTATTCCAACAGTTGAATCTCCTATCTCAATATAATCAACAAACTTTTCACATATATACATACATACGTGAAATAATCGTTTCATATCGGAGGAACTTCCATCGTCTAAATAAATACTCCTGAAAACACGTGGCCATGTTGTTCAGGACTTAAAATAATTCAACAGGTCGATTATAGCCACAGAAATGAAATTGAGAAAAAAAAAAGGTGACGCGAACAATACAGCGAGCAATGCAGATCTTGGAGCATGTTGTTAGAGAAACATCCCGACAGAATGAAGCGTAACTAGCCCAGGCTGAATAATGCTGAAATCAACGGCGGGCAGTTCAGACAATTTGAACAGAGTCCCCTCCTGAAATCGCTCGCCTCGATTCGCGGCGATCCGCTTTGGTTAATTATTACATTTACCAGTAAACACGATCGAGAGTGACCGGGTAAATGGCGTTTCCTCCTCTCCGAGGAGGAGGTGAGCGAAAAAAAAAAAAGAAGAACAAAGAGAAGGAGGCGAACGGTGCCACTTCCGATTTATTAGAGGCGCGGTGTGAGTGGTCTTCCGTTTATCGTACCCGTTCGTACCCAGCTGCTTTCTCTCCCCCTATGCACGGTGCACCATAGCCTGCTAAGCAAATGTAATTATTTTTAAAAAGGATGTAGGGACCCTGGTGTTTTCAGCGGACGGAACGCGTGGTTCGAATCAAGCGTAGGTGTTTTAAGAGTAAGCATCGAGGATAGGCTGTTTTATAAACCATTTCCAGCGCGCAAACGCCTCGTACACCTACCTCCAGATACTTTTCTTACGGAGAAGAATTGCTTGTCTCACGGTGGAGTGTATAAATGAAAAAGTTGGTGAGAATTACTTTACTAGCTTTTAGCGAAGCTAAATGCACGTAGAAATTGACGAAACGTAATTATTCGACGGGAATTCTACGTGAAACCTCGTGGAAGTATTAAAAATTGAGAAATAAGCCGATGTAGATATTTAAAGTGATATATTTTCGTTATTTTTTGCAGACGTGAAAACTCACGGAAAAAATAAGCCAATATATGTGTATTTAAAAAAGGAATTTGTTGTAATTCAGTGGTTGCAAAATTTGATGAAAGAACGTCAGGTGTTTGCCTGAAGAAAAGTTTCACTTCAATTCGCTATGTCGAGTAACGTAATTGCATTCACACAGGCCCATGATGTCCTCCGTTAAGCACCGCCGCCTCCGCAATCGTGGCACGTTAAACAGTCGTTTGTAAAACGAATTACCTTTATTTAGCCATTAATCCCGTACCGCCCTCGGGTTTCTTAACGACAACCCGAGATTGACAGAGATTAGAGGTACAATTCTCGAAGAAACTTCGTTAACGACCGCTGTTTACCGATTGAAAATTCGCTAGGTATCGTTCGAACGATCGATAAAAGTAAGCTTAACCCTTTCGCGACAAGTCGGACGCAATGACGCGCTTCGGTACTCGAACAAAAATTGATCTTAATTCGGCGATCGATAAATAAATAATAAACTCTGGAGGGAGAAAAAGAAAAATCGTGTAAACTGTTGGAAAAGAAAGAGTCGGCGGATCGTTTGAAAGATTATCTCCGAGAGTATGGAATCAAAGATGTAAGTTAATATCGTTTAGAGGAAGGAAAATAGATTGGAATATTACGTATCACTAACTCGTCATATATACTTCACTTTGTGTAGACTTCATTACATAAACTTGAGCGAAGTTCTCTTGAAACCGATAAAATAGATTCTCTTGTTCATGAAGGACACTAACCCCACGCCTGCGCTCTCCGAGGATCCAGAAAACCCATCTGTGCAAGTGAATTCGGCGGTCCAGTTAGAGCGGATCGGTTAGTTGCTTCCGGAGTTTCGCGAGCTGGAGTTTGGTCGAATATACTTTTTATGGAAATTGTACAATTTCTCTGTTGCGACAATCAGCCTGTCGATCTTTCTTCGTTGGAGTGGAAATTCAAAATTCTACGCGCGTTGGTGTCCTCGTTTCTCTTCGCCAAATTTCCAGGATTTCTACGTTCGAAGAGTGAAGAATCTCGTGTGAAATGCAACTCGGAAAAATGTGCAAATATGAGAGAAAATGATATTGCAATGCAGATAAAAGTGCGGGATTTGCTATTCACGGTAGTTTCGACACGGTCGATTTGTCAAAGTGGATCCATGCGAAAATTGAGATGAGAAGCGAGAAGAAAGTCAAGTTGAAAGGCTGATTCGAACGCACCGTGCAATTTCCACGTGCCGGTGGTTCATCTGTTGTCCTATAAATGAAATCCGTATCAATGAACTCAGAACCGACAGCATCTACTTCCTACGAAGGTAAGTGCTTTTCGTTTGAACCGTTTCAATGGAAAGTTTCGAGTGAATACGTGAGCTGTCTTATATCTATCGAATGAAAATATGAATTCGTTGGTTTTCTGCATCTCTGAAAGATGCAAAGAAACTGGAATTTTTCGGTACCACTTTGCGTTTATACAAATTTTCGGCTGTCAAGTGTCGAGTGACAGAAAAAGATCGAGAAATATTAAACGTTTCAATTTCATTATCATTTTCTATCGTTGCTGTTAAACGACAAGATTACATTTGCAACTGTTTCGAAGTAGAGTAGAATTCTAAATATAGGGTTGAAGTATGCTTTCTGTGCTTCCGAATAGCGTTAAATGTCGCGATAATATCTAATTGTAGAACCAAGTTGCACCAAGAAAGAGCTAACTACACCGGTCGATTTCGGTTTTCGATATTTTCTGAAAAATTTGCGAAACAAAATTCGCACAGACGTTGCGGTTCCTTAAGAACGCAATTTCTACAGAAGATATAATCGGTCGGTAAAGTTTACTTTCAGTTGAAAGAGTTTATCGTCTCGACTGGTGAAAATAGATCCCCCCTCCCTCCCTATCACGCTGTCTCTCTCTCTCTCTCTCTTTCTCAGAGAGAAAAGAGTACTCGTTACATTTTCCGAATGTACGCGAAATAAGGAAAATAAAAATCACCGGTGGGATGGAAAAAGAGAAATGACAAATACGCACAGGGTGTTTCAGTTAAATGAAACCACCTAAGTGTCTCTACCTTCTTCGTTTATTGTACGAGAAAAAATTCTCGGGACAAAATTAAACTGACATTTCAAGGGGCACATGTAACGACGAAAAGAATTTTCTCTCAAGGTAATTTTTTTTACGAGATTTCAAGGTCGTCGGTATTTTTTTTATTTTAATGGAATTCTGTACTTTTTTCGCCATGTCCTTGTAGAGCATAAAAAAACAAATTCAACGACCATAATAACCACACCATTTGGATCATTTAATCCGGAGATATTTGCGTCTGAAGGTAATTAAAATGTGGCGCTAATACGATGACACGATTCAAATTGCGTATAATAATTTTCTCGTACCGCAGCTAGAGAGGATAATTAAATGGCCTGTTTCACATAGTCCAGCTTGTGTATTTAAACGCGAAATCTTGTCGATTATCAAAATCAAGTGTTGCAATTTATTTTAAATCGTAGAATGTTTTCAGAGGTTTGCTGAAATTGGTTTCAGTAGGAACGAAAATTCGTGTATCGCCGTGTGTAGTAGAATTCAGTTGGGTAACAAAGTGTACATAAGGTATACACACTGGAGCTTATCCCGATCGCGTGGGAGCGGCTCTTTTTTCGATAATTGCTATCGTATTTCAATTGCTATCAGGTACACACGTGTACTAACTTGCGAGAAATTAGAAAGAAAATTCCGGCAGTGTATATTTTGCACGATAAAACGAAAAAAAAAAAAACGAATATATACATACAAGACAAAGCTGGAAAGAGCGGAAAAAGAAACTTTCTAATTTTCTAACTTTCGGAAGAATATTGAAAATTTATAAACTCGAACGTTCAACGTGGATGATATTACCTTTCGATGTATTACCTACTGTTGTAAAATTACCGATAATTCACATAACTCACAATTATCGATAAAAGCTTCTATAATTGCACTTCTCTCGTGTATACAACACATACTCGCGTTGTGCAACGAGGCGAGCCTTCTCCAGTATTTTACGCTCCTGTGCAAAACGACACCTGTCTGCCATGCTGTCCGCAGATGGAGTACTGGATGGCGAGCAACGAGACCGGCCACTATGGCAGAGAAGAGACAATCCAGGGGATCCTACGAAATCCAGGATCAGCGGTTCTCTTCGCTGACTATCCACGATGGCTTTTGTATTTTGCCGCCGGATGCTGTATACTGTTCATGATCGTCGGCATCCCGGGGAATCTCTTTACCATCGTTGCTCTTTTGCGAACCAGAAAGGTCAGCATTACTACGATCGCATACTTGTGCATACGCGTTTCTTTCTTCTTAGAAGACGCACGCTTGATTTTTTCTTCTTTCTTTTTTTAACGAATGCATGTTTAACCCTTTAACCTACAATAACGTGTCAGACTCGTGGCAGAGATTCTGGTCAAGATGTGGCGAAAATAGATATATTAGTAAAAAAAATTCATTGTAATCCTAACTTTCGTTTTAATTTGTAAAATCAAGGATTCCTAAATACAATTAACCTGCAACAGATTAGCATTTGTTACTTGATACAGTACTGAAACATTAAATGGCTGACGCTTAGATGCACAGTCAGAAAAGAAATCATAGGTTAAGGGGTTAACTGTAGCGTTGCGTGTTTTATAGTTTGTTACTCTCTTTTTCTATGTTATGACAAGTTGATGAGTTTTGATTTCCATTCGTTTCCTCTTCACTTCGTTGAAGATATTGGTGCTTTTTATTGATTTTGCATTGGCTCAAGTTTGGCTTAAATTTGCATTTATTTATGTAGGCAATAAGATAGAAATCAACGGAATGGATTTTGAAGGGAAAGAAGATATTAGATATTTAAAATAATCTTCTATTTTTTATTACCCTTTCGATAGTAGAAAATGTGCTTATTTACAGGACAGTGAAATTATCAAACTAACAGCTTTATAATAAACGCAGTTCGCTAAAAAAGAATTTGCGCACGATAAGATGAATCTGAACGATACCTACGATACACGATACGTTAAAGTTAGTTGAATTCTAAATGACAAATTTCTTACGTGGCGCATTATTACTCGAGTTTCTAGTACACTCTACTACATTAATAGGTGGCTCACCTCAAATTTCATTTTAGCACAATAGCGAGGTGTATCGCGTATCACCCTTTCAGACCATTTAAATTACGCGTGAAAATGTGTTAACTCGTAGAAACGTAGGAATGATAATTAGGTGACCATTTCCACGTGGTCCACCCTCCGATACATATAGTACCGGCGAAAAATTCGGAATCACCTGCCAATTTACATTAATATTGAATCCGTTACTAATTCTTTATTGATTTGAAATTGATGTTGTGGAGATCAATAGCACTTTGCCTCGTTTCAATTGATTTGAATGATAAAAAATTATTATAAATGCTAACTTTCCTTTGAAGAATTTTGGTGCAACTTGCAATGCATAGTGAGTCCAAACATTTGCCCGGTAGTGTATGTAAAAACGTATAGAATATATACAACAGAAATAAACCTATATTTCATGTATATATTTGGGCGAGATTTGCAAAGGTTTATTCTATTGGTTTTGGCACCAAGTGAAAGTTGTCGAATTTATGAACCTACGTAGGATGCGCGTGCAATTTACCAGCGCACACAGATATTTATCTGTTGAAAAAAAAAAATGTGTTTATCGAGCTGCTTCGATTGGCAGATAAGACGTTTCGCCTCCGCGATAACTTCTCACCGTGCATATAAACGCTTTTTCCTTTCTTCGAGCTCCCTTGATTTATGTAGCAGACAATTTTACAACGCGTCATGCATACACAATGAAGATTTTCTGCTACTGCTCCCTAGATTCCTGAAATTGCCGGCGAAGCTTCTTCTTCGTTGCGTTGCACCTAGAAAATCTGTTATTGCAATTTCTTTTCAACTGAAGGAACACCGTAAGGGCTGTCACTAGCAAATAAGTAAAAAACGTGGTAATTTATTAACAAACAGGGATGATCTTCGTATCTCTTCAGCAACTGCAACCATAAGAAAAAATCTTTGGGACCATACGATGGTCCCTTTTATAGCAAACAATTTTTATTGGAAAAATTCTTCTCTTACTTTCTTCATTCTGAAGATATTCAAGATTATTATTGGTCCACGCTGAATTTTGCGTTTCTTCGAGGTTAACAAGTTTTTAATCATAGCTATAGTTACGATCCACCGAAAATTTTCGAACTTCACAGTATTAAAGTAAGTATTGCTTCGTTTTTTTTTTTTATCATTATCGTTGTTTTACAGTTAAGAAACGCGACTGCGATCTTCATAATGAATCTCTCAGTCTCGGATCTGATGTTCTGCTGCTTCAATCTTCCGCTCGCTACGTCAACTTTTTGGTACGGTTCCTGGCATCACGGATCACTCTTGTGCAGACTGTTTCCTTTGTTGAGATACGGTTTGGTAGCAGTGAGTCTCTTCTCGGTACTGGCAATTACGATTAATCGTTACGTTATGATCGGCCACCCCAGATTTTATCCTACGTAAGTCCATCTAATAAAGTTCGTATCTCGTTTAAAGCACCTTTACGAAGAATCGAATCGATTGTCTAAAAAATAGCATATATTTCATGTTCTTCGATAAATTTCTTAAATACCTTGAATATTAAAGGCGTTATTGAAAACAAGTATCTCTTTGGTTTCTTGCAAAAATAACGTATAAAATGATTTTACGTGTATGAAATAAAGTTACCTGTGAGCACAACTTTTTTGTAATAGCTCACAGAATTACATATTATCTTTTGCACTGTAAACGCGTTTTTACCTTATAAGAGTTACGCTTAAAAAATGAAACAACGATGCTTTCTTCATTCTATCAAATGTAATTTAAGTATCTTTCATTAACAACAGTGTTATCATTTTGTCATGAATGAATGTTTGCGTTATCGTTCCTAGATTATACAAACCAAAGTACTTAATACCGATGGTTCTGAGCACATGGATCATAGCTTTTGGAGTCCTCATCGTCACTTGGTTCGAAAGTTGGGGTCGCTTTGGATTGGACGTCGCTATCGGTTCTTGTTCAATTCTCCCGGATATAAATGGCCGAAGCCCGAAGGAGTTCCTCTTCATCGTTGCATTTTTAATACCCTGCATCGCGATCGTCGTTTGCTACGCGAGAATCTTCTACATCGTTCGAAGAACAGCCTTCAGAAGGAGGAAAAAGAACACGGTTGTAAATAGGGACGCCGCTGAAATTCATCCTGAGGTTCGTTTCGAAATAATAACGATAAATGTCTTATCAACATTTCTAGAGAATCTATATAATTTTAAATAAAACGAATTCAACAAATTGAAATTGTAAAATATTAAACTACATTCACTTACTTGAAATTAACATTAGTAAAATTAAAATGTAATCAATTCGCAGCTGCAAACTTTTACAAGGAATTGTATATTCTGAATAAATGTTAATCGATTAATTTTCTATGAACAGCAATTTTCACCACTTTTGAGTTGTGAGATATCTCTCGGGAATGTGTCCAAAATTTCCAAGTACAGGAAAATATTGATCACATTTCGAACAATTCCAGCGACGATCAGCCTCGCTTAAAAACGAAGAGGAAGAACTGTCTATCTTAGACTCGAGCTGCGCAGCGAGTGTCCTCTGCACGAACTTCACTTCGAAATGCGTCATCACTCCTCCAGATCGACTCAGCTCTTCGCAAACCCCTTCAAGACTGGCGACCGAGGAATCCTCTTCAGAGCAGTCCTGTTGGAAACAAAACTCAGTCAGAGAAGACGACGAAGAAGAAGATGAAGAAGAAGAAGAAGAACAAGAGGAGGAAGAAGAAGAAGAAGTACTAGAGAAAAACCGAAACGAAGAGGAAAAGAAGGAGAACTCCAAAGAAGAAGAAGCAGTCGGCAAATCCATCCACGACACGTCGAGTCCAAAAATTGTCCAGATTTGCGATAACGAAGCGAAGTCTAGTCTAGAGATAAAAATCGACGACATACCGTACGTAGATGATCTAGAGGCGAACAGCGATCGGATGACGATGAAAGAATCACTCGAAAGAAAAAGTTCCACGAACGCTCGAAACAAGTTGGAAACGATAGCCAGTCGAGCTTCGTTCATCATCGATTCAGGTCTCTGGGTCCACAGATTGAACTCGAAGGCGTCCACTTGCAGCGATCGATTCAACACTTCCAGATCGAACACTCCTGAACAGCCGATCGACACGAAAGCCAGCATGGTTCGCAGGGAATCGAAATTCAAGAGCGTGAAAAGACTCAAAAATCCTGACTCAGGCCTGCCGAGGATGAGCAACAAGGACAAGAAGCTGTTGAAGATGATCTTGGTTATATTCTCCTCCTTTCTCATTTGCTACTTACCGATCACCGTCATCAAGACGTTCAAGGATGCCATCGATTGGAGAGGATTGAATATCGCCGGATACATCTTGATCTATTTGACCACCTGTATAAATCCTGTGGTTTATGTGGTGATGAGTTCTGAGTACAGAAGTGCGTATAAAAACGTGTTGCTTTGCAGAAGCGATTCTGGTGTGAAAAGGGAGACCAGGTTGAGGAAGAATCAATCTTGAATTCGTTCTAAGTACCTACTGTGTAATTTATTTCCTTTTTTTCTTTTCTAAATTCGAGTAGATCAATTAATTTACATGTGTTTTGTAATTTCGTATGCTTTGTGCAAGTGTTGCGCGAATGTGCTTTTCGTTCGCAGATCTGTGGAAGGAGAGAAAGAGATATTGTTCTTAGCCCCTTGACTTATGATTTCCTTTTTTACCGACAGTGCATGGGAACCGTAAGCTATTTATTTTATTTTAATACTGTGTCAAGTAAGAATGTATTGTTACGTTCTTTGCAATTTCATAATTCTCAGGTTTGTGAATTGAAATTAAAGTTAGAATTATTAATCTTTACTGTAACTGTTTCTGTCGCATCTTCGTCGGTATCTACGACGTGTCTGAATTGTTGTCATAACGCAAGGGGTTAAAGGAAATTTCAATAACAAAGCTTGCTTTCAAGTATCATTCGAGGAAAATTATTTTTCATTATATGAAATCTATAAAAGCGTACATTATGCCAAACAAACGTGTTTTATATATAAGAGAGATGTCGTTGCAATTTTTGTATAATTTCGTGCAATGTAACAACGTTCAAATGGATATAACTTCGTTTTTAATACTTAGCAAATTAAAATTTAAGTTACAAGACACTATGTGAGTATATTTTATAATGTTCGCCAAATGAATCGACAGCTGAAGAAACTTCGTTAGAAAATATCGTTTATTCGTTATTACAATTTTCATTTCCAAATTTAATCACAGTTCATAGATAATGTAACACTTAAGAAGAAATAACAAGGAAATAACTGCCTAGTAGTATATAATAAATACATCCCAAAGGGATTTGCAGAAAATTTAATCTCTGCAAGTTCAAACAATCGTAACGTATGAATTTTCGTTATGTCATAAATCATTGAAACTCTTCCAAATAATAATCGTTAAAAATATATGTCCTATACGAGAATATATTAAATTTAAATGAATTTCATTAGAAATATGTAAATACTTAAATAATAATAAATGAACAATCATGAATGAAAAAACATATAATATAGGAAAATTATTGAAAAAAGAAAAAAGAAGTGGTTTTTCGTTTGTAATCAGAATAGAAAGAATAGATGTAATTCTTATCGGTTAATGCATTTATGCCTTACACCAGGGGTTCCCAAAGTGCGGCCCGCGATGGCAGATCAGTAAATATTATAATTAAAAATTGTTCGGTTAAAAAAATACTAAATTTTGTATGTAATATATCTTCTTATTATATAGATTGTATATATTTTATTGTCTTAACGGCCAATGGCCGTAACTGTCTTAATGGCCTGCCAAATACTTTCGAATTTACAATTTGGCCCACCTAGGCAAAACTTTGGGAACCCCTGCGCTTTACACGCACGTATATGTATAATATACAGAAATACTGAAGCAATGTTGAATAACAACATTACCCGCTAAAAATGTGTTTTACATTTTTACACGGCATAGAAAAATAGTTTTTGTAAATAGCTGATTTATTTTCATAAAAATGTTGATAAACGCAATAGAACACTATTGACCAACAAAGACTTTTTTCATCATAAACGAACAACGTCGTTTCATATTTTTTTCTCCCTAAAACAAAAACTATATACACGAACACTATACTGAGTGTTTCTTTCTTTTTTTTTTTTTTTTTTTTACAGAATTAAATAAAAACAAGTGTACACTGTTTCTGCTTGCTAGTTAGTTAGTGGAGATTCTATTTCGTGACATCTTATCGAATATCCAGTGCAAACAGATTCGATTGAGCAATATCTTGAAATACGTTGTCAAGTGAAGAAACGTATCTCGTTGTAATATTCTTAACATATATAAAAATATCGGAAAAATTTCGTGAACTACACTTTAGTGCGCTATATGTAAGTGCACGTGTTACTCTTAAAAAGTGTCTACAAGTATTATTTATAGTTACTATTATCAAACATTAACCGCCAGGATTGCGATCGATATAGGAAAGTTTACTCGACGAAATTTCAAAATTGTCCGTGCAATTATCAAGGAAATAAAAAGGAAAACAACAAGAATAACGAAGAAAGAGAGAAGTGAAGTTTTCGAATTTGCATTCTTTTTAATCACATCCCTACTTGCACTCTGTTAAAAAGGAACGAACAAATTGTTTCTAAACTGGACAGAATGGTCACAGAAATACTCATGAAATAAAAGTGTACGGCAAGAGTTACTCTTACGAATCAAATAATTAAACAGATTGAAATGCTTTTTTTCTCGTTTGATTAGAAATTTCTCTTCGAACCTCGCTGATAACGATTCGAATATCAACGATTGCTAAATCGTCTCCTGTGGCACGTCACGTCGATCGTTCTCTCCAATAGAAACCTAACACTGCAACTCCAACGTCTATTACGTTTCCCGATTTAATATACAATATTTCAGGTATCATTGATTTTCTAACTCGTATCCAAGATACTTTCATGATCCGAAAATCTGTTCGTTTTCCTTCGAATTGGCGAACGAAAGTGAACGAATCGTGTCTAATTCGCGTCCAGATTTGGCGGTACCGCTGCACTCTGTATCGTGCTAATGTTCATCTGATTAGGCCACTTCTTTTGCTCCCCGTCCTTCCCGTTTTGCGACTGCGGCGTTACCTTCGTGATGTCCAACGAACCCTTGCCTCTGTTCTTGAAGATCATCGCGGCAGCTGCACCGCTCACGCAGATACCACCCAGTATCGTCAACCATTTTAGAAACCTGTTTCACATAAACAAAGCTAAACTTCTGGCGCGATTAATCGAACACTATTGGTTATAAGTAACTTGTCATCGTGTTGATCGAAGTTGCGTTTGCCTTCTGTTAAATTTATATAAAGCAAGTGTAGAAATCGACGGAAAAATATTTGAGGGACCCCCAACGGGAATCGAACCCGGGACCTTCGGCTTAGCAAGCCGAGGCTTTGCGCGCTACGCCAACCACTCCCTCTCTATTTTCCTCTGTCGGTTTTCTATATGTAGGCCCCGATACTACACAAGGAAAACACTCACCCAACCACGCTTATCGCCATGAACACCGTCTTTACTTTCTTCACAAACTGATCGTCGAGTAGTATACCCTCCTCGACCCAGAACAGCGGGAACAAACATTCTGGAAATTTTTTCATCAGCTTGAACTTTTCAATAGGGTGTAGAAACATGTTAAATTGCAGCCTCTTGTGCGCGCTTATCGGGGTGGCTGTCAGTGGTTCGAAGTCCATGGAAATCCCGTGGTCCTCCTGCTCGTTCGAAGAATGTGCGAATAAAGAAGTAATTTATCTTCTCTGTGTATACACCGATGTGTGTTAAATTGCATATTTTACACGTTGAAAGGTACGAAGAAATTTACAAAAATTTGTAGAAAAATTTCGTTCGCATTTTTCAGATATGGAAGGATCGAGCATTAAGGTGCGATAAAAATATACAGGGTGTTTCGCGAAGTCTGTTAGAAGCCAATATCGACGAATTTGTTAATTTAGAATTACTTCTCAGATTCGTGTGTACGAATCTTTAAGAAATGAAACATTCGAATGATTAAAATTTGTCAACGAGTAGAGTGACGATAATAAGTCTTGCCTCGTTTGGGTGAAGTCCATCGACCAGTTGCCGATACTTTTCATCCGATCCAAGCAAATGTGGCAAGGAAGCGATCAGTGGTGCGCCCACGCACTTGAACAGATCCATCAAATTTTTCGTCAAACAAGTGTCCGGTGTAGGGCAAAAACACTTCTCCATGGGATTCGTACTCATATCTCCCAAGTCGGCTTTGTAATGATACGTATTGACACCTACGGACGCATAGGTATAATGGAACAACAGAAACGTGAGTAAATAGAGTGTTATATTAAATGAGTTTGCCTATGTCTAAAGTATAGGAAGATGCATTGGAAAAAAATATACAATAATCGGAGAATATGATTTCCTTTTCAATTTGCAATTTCAATTGGCAGGTAGGACAAGAAGAGATGACTATTCGAATCTTTGGACGAGATATGTATCTCGCGTCCAAATGAAAAGACACGCGAGATATCTCGTCCAAATTGATGCATAAACGAGATTAGGTCACGAGATATCTCATCCATAGATGCGAAGGGGTTAATAAAAAAGATCGTGTTTCTTCAAAACTAAACGAAAGTGGAAGCTGAAGATGCGACTGTCTCTAGATTGTCACCACTTCGATGGACACGACAATTAATTTCGAAACTTCGCTGTTACATCTCGCAAGTTTCACCTTTAACTTTGGTTTTCTCGGTGAAATGGGCGCCCAAGCTTCTACAAATATCAGGAGCAAACGAGACGATATCGTCTTCCTCCGTGAGCAACGGCGGAAAGATCGTGGAGTCCGTGCCGTTGAATTCGTTGCAATGGTCCGCGGTCCATAGAGACAACGCAGGTTTCCCATCGAACTCCGTCACTCGTCCCAGATCTTTGTAATTCTTGATCCCGCGCAGCACTCGTATACGCTCCGGAAGAACGGTCCCGTTTTTCTGCGTCACGAAAATCACAAAGAATTTCGTACGATGAAAATTAAGAAACACTCGTTGTAACTGATCGAACATGACAAAATGTTCGAAAGAAATGTTTTTGAGGATTTATAAAAGAGATGTTCGAGGTAAATAACTCGAAAAGAGTGTAAACGTGTATACATACAGGACCAAAAAGGGAGAATAAATAACGTCCTTCGCCATCCGGTATTAAAGCGTCAGGCTTTGTTTTCAAAACGCTGCAAATCGCGGATCCAGCAAAGTCCTTCACAGTGCAATCCACAGGCAAACCATCGAAAAGTATCTCCCTCACTTTCGCTCTCACGAACACCGAGTTAGGTTTCTTGAAAATACTATCCACTCCTTTATCTATAACCGTGAATCTTACGTAAGTTTGCAATATTACGATTCTTTTGTAATCAGTGCGTATGGAAATCGACAAGAGAAGTATCGTTTAAAAGAGAGTGTCGTAAACGTAGGTAGTAATGAACGTAACGAATTTTTCACATTTTCTGAGTTACAAGTGAATGTCTCTCCTAACTGATGTTACATATCGGAAAAACTATTTGTTGGGATTTCTGTAGTAACTGTGGGTGCATGGTAACAACGGGGTCAAGGACGTTTGAAGGTCACGGCCACGAGGTCAGAAACGTAGCATTCTAGATAAAAAAATTGAGGTGGCCTTGAAAACTCAAAATTTACCCCATGCAGGAAGTTTTTTGAAAGTTTCACTCCTGTCGTTTCCGGTTAAATCGTCAAAAACAAATCTGCCCGGAACCTCGCTACTGCTTCTACTTGACGGCGAGCGGGTCACAGCTCGCAGGCGCGGTGCACAGGGGACGCTTTCCCCACTCGAAGGATTTATCAAAAAATAAAAAAACGAAAGCTTGAAATCTCAAAATTCACTCGATCTAGAAGTATTTTTCACATACCACAAAATACGTGCTCCTTATTACTACAGAAGCTAAAATAAACAGTTCTCCGATATCTCTCTTCAATCGGAAACATCAATTCACGTAACTCACCCGGTACATAGAGACAGAGATGAATTAATTTCAATATATTAT